TACACTTAATCAAAAGTTATGGGCGAGGTTAAAGTTTTTGCGGACAGAGAGACAGACACAGACGGAGAGACAGACAGACAGACAGACGGACACGACAAAAACTATATACCCCGGAATCTTTGTTTACAGGTGCATGAAAAAAAAAGAATTCCTCTGTCTGAAGTCTACATATAAAAATAACACTATTTCTGAAGCAGTCAAAAAGTTATTATTCTTGTAATCATGAAAAAAATAATAACTACGCGTCATCTTACAAACCTTAAAGCTGCTTAGTCCGATTCTAATCGCAAAAAAATTATATTGTTTTTCTTCTTGAATAATAATTTTCCATAAATTGTTTCAACTTTTATCAACTTTTTCTCCCAAATTCTCTTTCTTTTAAAAGATATCAAAGTTCAAAAGTTAATAGAATAATTTTTCTTAGGTAAAAAAAAAGAATCCTATGTTTATATCGCGTGAAATCACCTTCGAAAAAATTTTATTAATGGCTTACATCTCATGAAGAACAAACCTGAGCATTTTTTTCACGACAAAGTATTCATACGTATACATGGACAATATTTTAGCCTTCCTTACTTAACTTCCTAAGAAAATCTTTAAATAATTCTGATTTTCCTTTATTCTTTAAATATGCATATTAATGAATATGAAAATTACTATGGATTATATTTAATTAATTTCTTAAAGTCATATATGGCATATTTTTGATAAGTTCAGATAAACTAAACTTAAAAAGATCTTTCTATTTGTTTTGATGTTTAATATAAAGGTAGCAATTTCCTGTAAAATACACAATTTAAATCGATCGATTTTCTAAGATATCCGAGATTTAGAACAATAGCTGATTTATTTCAGACTCGGAATTAAATACAAGACACAGTTTAAAGCCAATTTAACTATATAAACGTGGGAAAATTTAAGTTCAAAAACAGCAAAAAATTTAATTTGAACTTAGATATAGCAAATATATGTAAATCTACACTTGATTTTGTATTTGTATTTTTTAAAGCTCAAATACGCCATATATGACTTTAATTTTTAAAAGATATATTATGACTTAGGTTTCTACTTATGAAAAAAAAATACTCGGGTTTGAATTATCTTTATTTAAGGAATCATTGTCTAGTTTTGAGAGTATGCCAGGGCTTCAACAATAGTGGGAAACGTGATAATTTGCATAACGGGCGAAGCCCTTTACGCTAAAATTATCCCATCAGCTACTGTGCTCCAAGTTGCGACTAAAATGGTCGCATTTGCGACCAAAAAATTGATTTTGAAACTAAAACTGAAAACACACTCGCATTTTCGCTACTGAGAAAATGTGGGCTGGAAACGTCTATTTTAAAGATCAGGATCGAGATTTATTTCTAAAGACTCTCTATCAACAAAATATTTGAAGACATATACTGAAATACACTATAAAAAACGTCGGACTTGGATCACGTAATGTTATGGCAGCATGCTGTACAAAGTTTGATAGAACCAGAGACGTGTATAAATAATGTTCCTGATAGAATGGCATCCAAACTTCGTAAACTTTCTAAGTTTCGACCTTGTTATTGAAGCATTGGGTCAATTGCTTGGATATCACAATGAATCATGCTAATAAAGAGTGTTTTGGCAGCATTTATAATGACTGTGTAAATGTAATGGGTTAGACAGGTCCAGTACAATCACTAGATTTAGCTACGAAGGTAGAATTACCTACGTACATGTAGCTTTATTTACCTACCTCAGGTAGCTTTATTTAGCTATTTCAATGTAACTTTTCAACATTTTATTTTTTTATTAAAAGAGACAAAAAATCGCAATTAAGAGACTATTGATATTCATACTAGGGAGGCTTATTAAAAAAATCCAAAGCAGAGATAGTTGAAACAGTTGCTGAGTTTGGACAATTTAGAGCAAAACATGTAATTCCATTGTTTGATTACTGTCTTCTCTCTCATGCGTGCGGTGAGGCATGACTGAGTGTGATTACTTCACATTGCGCTGAATGATTACTGACCTATTATCGTATTAACCGGAACTGGACTTCTTTGTCATTCCATTCAAGGAGTAACTTTTCTAACTGTCATACATAGCCCCAAAACTTTCAGAACTTTGATTCCAATTGCGCAGAAAAAAGACATTTCTTCAAGAATGATTTTTTCCTGAGTTGTTTTCAGATGAGTTCAAAGTTGAAAATAATCAATGCATCAAAAGGATATTTTCTGCACACCTTAAGAAAAGTGCCTTTTTATAGAAATAAATTTTGTTGGTAACTAAATAAAGGTACCTCAGGTGGGTAAATAAAGCTATGTAGGTAATTCTACCTATGTAGCTAAATCTAGTGATTGTACTGGACCTGTTAGGTACGTAGTAGTAAGTAAACATGACAAACAGCAGGTCCTGTCTCAACAGCTGTCAGGCTTGTTATATTCTCATTAGATTAAATTTTATTTCTGTAATGAGATTACTTGATTTCTTCTGTACAACCATAAGGGTACTTGTATTCAATAAAAATATTTCATTCAACCTAGAAGATTGTCATACTGTAATAGTAATAAGTAATCTTTGATATAATAAAGACATAATACATATCCTTATCTTGATTATCAAGTTTTATTGACAAAATGTATTTTTTTTATGGCGAGTGAAATATTTGATTATGGCGACCAGAAATTCTGAAACAGCGACCAAAAAAAATTTAGGTTGTCATTTTGCGACATTAGAGGAAGTGTGACTTGGAGCACTGCCCATGTTTCCCACTATTGGTGATGTCCCTAGCATACTCTCAAAACTAGACAGTGATTCCTTATATTTCCATTTCATTGAGAAATAATATTGACGATCTACTAGACTCTAGAAAATGTAGACATAGACAATTCACACGATGACTTCCATGCCAATTTCAATAGTCCTCGCTCACTGACGTCAAACACAAATGCAGTCGCATGAGATTTACATGCATATTTGGCCTCCTTAGTGTCAGACACAGAGACAGATGTGCACGAGATTTGCATGCGTATAAGGCCTCCTTAGCTCCTGACCTATCCACCTGCCTAATTTACATTTCGGGTGAATGATCAAGAAATAAACTCCGACAACTTTCAAAGAGATATCGCAGAGAAAACAAGAGACCCAAGGGCCTTGAATCGCTCTTCTGATAAATCGTACAAACTATCACTTCTATTTGAAGTCTCCAACTCTATTAGTATCATAAGACCCAAAATGCATCAACTTACGGAGTTTGATAATATTTAGCCAGTATACATGTATTCCTGGGTAAAACTTGGGTCGGTCATTCTGGCCCCACCTTTGCCCCGGGGGTCATGATTTGAACAAACTTGAATCTACACTACCTGAGGATGATTCCGCATGAGTTCACCTTTCTTGGCCCATTGGTTCTTGAGAAGAAGATTTTTAAAGATTTTTCCTTAATTTTCCTATGTAAAACTTGGGTCGGCCATTTTGGCCCCACCCTTGCCCCGGAGGTCATGATTTGAACAAACTTGAATCTACACTGCCTGAAGATGATTCCACATGAGTTTCACCTTTCCTGACCCAATGGGTCTTGAGAAGAAGATTTTTAAAGATTTTTCATATATACTCCTACATGTATGTAAACATTTGATCGGCCATTGTGGCCCCACCCTTGCCCCGGGGGTCATGATTTAAACAAACTTGAATTTACTCTACCTGAGGATGATTCCACATGAGTTTCATCTTTCCTGGCCCAGTTGTTTTTTGAGAAGATTTTTTTAAAATGTCATTTTCTTCTCTAATTCATAATTATTTCCCCTTGGAAAAGGGTGTGGATATTCATTTGAAAAAGTTGATTCCCTTTCACCCAAGGATACTTTGTGTCAAGTTTGCTTTAAATTGGCCCAGTGGTTCTTTAGAAGAAGATGAAAATGTGAAAAGTTAACAACAACAACAACGACAACAACAGACAACGGACAAATTTTGATCAGGTGAGCTAAAAAGCAGTGAAAGAAAAAGATTAAATAGGCAGTATGATATAGTTAGACACCCCCTTCTTATCCCCCACCCCCAGAAAAAAATGTGTGTGTTGGCGAGGGGGGTAGGCTGATATGACTTTATAATGCTGACAATTGTATAATTTCAATCATCAAAAATCTCCATGTTATATACATCATCATGTTTATAAAATGTCACCCCAGTACACAGTGAAGATTTACTGAACACCTGCTACAGAAATACACAACATTCCTAGACAGAGCTGGGTTTATATCAATGGTGTCTATATCTCACTGTCAATACTGTATGAAATGTTTGTAGTCACTGTGATTGAACTTTGTTTGAATTGATTATTCCAAGAACTGCTTATCATCTAATGATATGAACTTGGACACTGCCCATTCATTCACCAATATCCCTTATCTCCCCCATCCCATCCCAACACACATATAAACACTGCATCCATTCATTTCATCAATATATTTTTTTCATTTCTTGACATTAGTAGTGATCTATTAGGTAAACATATAAACCACCCATTGTATTCATTTTCCTCTTTATAGCAGGGGATTATGAAATATAATATCAACCCAAACAATGCCAAATAGAAGACAGTATCAATGAGATATATTTTAAATACAAATTATTACACTTTATACTTCATTATATATATACACTTGTGTAGGTCAATATCTATGTTAAGTCTTATCAGTACAAATTCAGGAGTAATTTGTCAAAGACAACAAAGTTAAAACAACTAAATACATATCAAGATAGCCCAAATCAAATTTAAAGTATATTATTTGCAAAATCATTTAGTTAGTAATTATTACTTAATAAATTATCCTCATCTAAAAAGCATTTCTTGTTATATAAAACAACAAGTTAGAATTTAATTAACCATGTAATGTGTTTACACTTAAAACAATCAGTATGATTATATCCTTAATGTCTTATAATTAAATACTAAACAATGAGTATAATATATTGTACACACTAAACATTGTAAACAAACATAATACTTCAGTATAACTTACCAGTCAGATCCTCCCCTCCATACATAGGTCTGTAGATGTTCACTCTGTTTTTGGACCATGATCCAACCCAGACAGAGCGGGTGATGTCATCATAACTCAGCCCGAGTGGTATGTGTATCACGTGTTGTTCTGGCTTGAAATGTGTCATGTAGTGACCGTCTTTATCTATAATATGTACTGTGTGGGTGTTAAGATCACACACCAGGATGTGTAGCAGCGCGTCAGTACAGATTCCACGTGGTGATATTCCTGGAGGACCTCTGTAGGAGAACCGGTGTCTTCCTCTACTGTCTGTCACCACTACAGCAACACGGTACAGGTCAGACACAATAACATCTCCATTGCGGTTCTCTGTGATGTAGAGAGGTCTACCATACATTCTCTGACCTGTGTTGTCGTGCTGTATGGTCTGTTTGTGTTCTCCTGTGTTGGTGTAACGGTTTACCTGGCCTTTATATGTATCAGTATTAGACACTCCGACCAGCAGGTCTCCAGTGGAGGGGGAGCTGTAGACACTCACTGGTTCCCATGGTGATGTGTATGGTATTACTGTGGTCTTTACTTTATCTTTAGACAGTTTTATGATGTTATAGTCACTGTCTATATAAATCACAGCACTATTACTAGACACAGTATGTAATCCAGCACCATATTTATATAAACCTGTCACTTGATCTAGTGTGTCTCCTCTCGTGTTTGTTAAGATAAGGTTGCCTTTATTATCAGAGATCCAGACCCGGTCTGTTGACACGTGGGTAATGTGATCACACCTACTGACACCTGACACTCTGACAGAGTTCTGTAACACCAATTTATACATCCCTGCCACCAGACTTTTATGTCTTTTTCCTGTGACTTTATAATCCTGTGTTGATTTCCATCAGTCAGGGAGATCTCTCTGTGAATTACAACATTGTGTTTTGATCATCCAAGTAAACAACAAAACTCTCTCAATAGTATACTCATGTAAAAATGTTTTGGTTTTAAGAACTTATACAGTGTTTACTTAATCAAATAGAATTATTACCATTACAGGCTTAGTTTGGACTTTCAGTAAGGCGTGGCATTCCCAACGTTACCTCATTATAGCTTCTGAAATTTACACAGCTTCCGATCACTGTTGAAATATACATGTGATAGAGATGCGGTCGAATGTAGTAAAAAGCCAATTAAAAGTTTTCTCACAACACAGAGGTGGGGCATAAGTCGTCTCATCGTTATCAACAGCAATTTAAAGTTCCTGATGTTATTAATTTTGTAATCAATGAGAATCTACTAGTATTCGCTTTTACCTAGCGCCGAGAAAGTCACGCCCTACTGAAAGTC